AAGTCAATCACTTTTTCAAAACTAAAAGCACTTTAGCTATCCGTATATCTTATGTTTCAGAGAAAAATATTTTACATTTTAAAACATGATTATTATAGAGTTTACTGTATATTCTGTGATAGCATTTTTGCTAACATTTTATAATCATATGTGAAGTGAATCTGATATAAGAAAATATTATATATGCAAAAAATAACATTATTTTAATGTATTCATAAATTCACTGCTATTAACGTGTAATTCAATAATAGGGAAAGGTATTTGTAAGGGAGAGCACATGTAGTTTTTTATATTTGTATTGTTGCCTTTGCTATCTATCGTTGGATGTCTGAGATGTTTAATAAGAGTCAAAGATAACAGATTTTTCTTATCATACATTCAGCACGTTATGAGGGATTGGGATGAGGGGAAGGGGATGTCAAAGGGACTAAACTGTCGATGCATTTAATCCTTTTTCGTATTCTTATTCTTTGTGTATTAACTAAATATTTCCCATTCAATACATGTATGCGAGAGAGAGAGAGAGAAAATATAAGGCGTTATGTATTTGCTGTATGATTTTAAGAGATAAATGATGACTGACTTTAAGATAGTGNCAATTTGAATAGCATTGTGCCAAAAGCTATACCAAAAATATTTCATTAGTTTATGTTCCCAAACTAATAAACTTATGTTAAATATTTATCAAATTTTGTTAATCAAATCTAATATAAGCTAATATAAAGTTTATGCAACATTTAAAATAATTTTATTTGAGTATAAATTTTGATTAAAGGTAAAATAAGTCGCGTTTTATCAAGAACAGATGTCATTTTGAGAAATTATTTCATAATAGTACACTTTAAAAGTGTGCAAAAATTATTTCTGACCTTTATGTCTTCCAGGTACTATAATATTATTAAGGATATTCAAATACTGTAAATCATATGATATTCATAATCAGTTATAACAAGCCTACAAATGGACGCATAGATTGATCCCAACAATTAAGTCTTAAGCGCGCCATAGAGTTGAAAATTTTGCATTTACTTAAAACTCATACCTTACTCGTTAGTAGTAAATGAACATCGAAAATTATATAAACCCTATGATCTTTAATAGATAAACAGGTGGGCAGGTATGTAGATGATTATGAGGAAAGTATACCTACAGGTATGTAACGTCATTTTAAAATGTCTCTCAAAACAGTTCCTAAGTTTTTATTAGTAACTGTAGAAAACTTCTTTGAGACCAAATGACAAACTAATAAAATGTTTTAATTTTATTATTAATGATATTTAAATTTACAGTCTTAATTCAAGTCAAAGAAATTTTAGCAATTGAATCAATAATCATTAATAAATTATATTTTTAAAAATTAATAAAATAAGAAAACCCAAAACCAATTCAAAACCAATATTGGAAAGAGAAATCGGATATAATAATATGATAACTAGCTGAACTATACTATGTTACAGTTTATAAGTCTCTCTCTCTCTCTCTCTCTCTCTCTCTCTCTCACTCACTCACTCACTCAGAGGTAAAACAAGACAAAGTGAAAGGTAATGAGCATTACTGACCCCATCCCTATAGATGATGACAAGTATGGCGACAATGAGGAGTAGGAGTACGAGTAGGACTGCGCCGACAATCGCTAAAATGAGTTTAACTTTGCGCTGATCTAAGAGTGCGGACGACTGCTTGTCTTCCGCCGCCTTTTCGTCGGCCGAAGCCATCACTGACTTCTCGTTGTCCTTCGTCTCCGATATGTCTGTCTGTCCGCCGGCCTCCACATCATTGTCCCGGGGCTTCAGAGGCGTGTCCTCATTGGCCTCCTCTTCCTTTTTGGACAGCTATTTCATGCAAACAAATCATTTGCAAAATAAACATTCAGTTTGAAAATAATTGTTAATATTTTTGAGTGATTTTATAAATAATTGTAATTATTATAACTATCGGTTGGTAGGTATTGTATATTAACAATAAAGTACTATTACTAATAAAACAATGCTAAACTGTAGTAATATGCTATTTGAAATAAACTAAACTACTTTTTAATAAATTAATAAATAACTAAATAAACACAGCAATTAGCACACTATTTGTTTTGTGAGCGCTAAGCAAACAAATCTAATACTTTTAAAACATATCTAAATATTTGCATAATACAATTTTAGGAAATCAATTTTTTGTTGACAGGATTTCTAATGTTTAAACAGTGTATCGCTTATCAGTACGAGCACAGGTAGTTCTATCATCGACACACATACCTCGTCCAGTTGATAGGCCTCCGACTTCTTTTCCGGTGTCTTTTCACTCATTTTGTATTTCCGTTCAAATATATACTCGGATTCACTCTTGAATTCACAGTACAAACGCTGAATACAACAGAATATTCTTCAGAATGTGTTTTTATAGCCAATCATACAGACTATCTTTTCGCACAGAATATTCTGGTATTGTATTTATACACACTATTAATATCGATGATAACCCACACAAGTGTTAAACAACAACGAAAATACAGTTGCGATACTCTTATGTCATTTGGATTTCATTAGCAAACGATTTTCGTCAGTCTATAGGAAAATATAAAAATAGAGAAAATTGTTATTAAAATTTAATTTAAAGCAACTTTAATATAATGTGTATTTTGATACAGTATATGTTGCGTAACTAAACAATATTAAATTTTTAATATTCATCATATTTTTAGAGTGATTCCCTTTAAAGTAAAATATTTTTAGGTTTTCATTTATATTATGTGTGTTTATTTGAGGCTTTAAAATAACAAACAAAACTTCAATTTTTAATAATATATTTTATAATAGATTTCTCAATAAAGATATTTCAAGAAGTAATTAATAAATATTTTGTAGAAACTTCACTTAAAATAGTAATTTTTCAAAATACAAGCCTAATATCTAACTCGTTATTATAAGCCAGTATATTTAATAATAGATTTGTGCAATAATTTGAAAATAATTGTTTCCCATTATAAACGCTTGCGATTAGAAAAAAATACACTATACACAAAATTACAAATACATTATAATAAATACAATATGTACTCGTTACAATGAACTTAAACCAAAACAAATTCATAACTTATACCAACTTTTTTGCGATTGCATAAAAAATTTATAGACTTTTATCAATAGTAGGAAAAATGAAAGTTTTTGACACAAAACTATTTTTACATAATACACAACAATATAAATAATTAATAAGTCCTAAAAAGCGAGAATTTATTGTATTTTTTGGGCATAACTTTCTCAGCAAAAGAGGTTTTAATATTAGGATTTGGACACAAAAATGATGGATCGATCGCTGGGTAATCATATCCTCCCTTTCCCTCTCTGTGCCAACACTTATAATACCAAATATCTCTCTAGCACTCGGAATATATTATGTACTGTATATATATTTAGTCTCTCTCTCTCTCTCTCTCTCTCTC